CAAGAATTTGGTACTGCTTTGGTTTGCTCTTTTCCTAGGTAGGCACAGCTCTAATGGCTTCCAGTTGGCTTTTCCTGCCACAGTAGCCTTTACTTCACATGTTAAGAGATTCAATGTGGTGGTTCTTCCCATTGCTGAGTATGTCTATTAAAATTGTGCATTCGGGTACTGGGAAAATCACTACAAGATAGGCCCCCTGGACCCCCTGTGAGATCGCGCTAAGACTATTAATAACTTGACCATCATACACTCCTATTCTTTCTGGAGGACACAGTGATGTTTTGAGTCTCCTAGAATCGGTGTACGTTCAAAGCCAATATCCAGTATTTCCTACAAAGTCTACTTCATTTTCTGATGAATCGTCTTTCTCATAAACATGGAAAAGCCCTTTGGAGAAGGCTGAGAGAAAGATTAAAACTGTAACTTTTTAGCAGTAGAGTGGAGTCCCTACTGAAGGAAACATAGCCTCTCTTTCATTTGAAGGGTTTGTAGGGGGTTCATGACTCTCTACTCTGGCAATTCAAGTTAGATTGTTATTCATTTGACCTAGAATCTTTCTGTTTGTAAAGATAATGTAAGTACTTTGTAGATTTTCCATCTATTTCATGCCAAGGGGCATCATGTATAAGTAGCCAGCACCATCATATGGGTCAAACTAGTCAGATTACTGACTTGCTTCTGCTGTCCATTATGCCAGCCACGTCTGTGTATGTTGTCTTGTGATTAAAGTGCTGTAATTTGGACTCTATACCACAGAGTCCAATCAATCCCATTGTAGTTCGGTGCATTCATTCAATCAGGGAAGCTCCCACTGTCAAATCTGACTCACATAAAATAGCAATCACAGTAGCCTTCAAGGATGTTGAGGTTCCTTTCATAAATCTGTTATGGTAAGCGATGGGTCTTCAGGAGACTCCATGGATGGGTCTGAAAATTCAACCTGATAATCAATTCTAACATTTCAATTTCCTTCAGTCTTTGGATATCTTCTATAGAACACCAAGGCAGGCTTGACCTTTCAACTTGATTTGGTGTAGGCCATGAAGCAGTGGAATCCATGCTTCAGTGAACCAAGCAAATAAATTATTAGATCCTTTCGTAACCTCTCAAGCAGAAAAACTGAATGAAGAATTTGTGCCTAGTAGACACCTATCAATAAATTCAGATTGATCTAACTTTATCTTCCTTGCACCATGATCCTAAACCCCTAACAGTCATTCTCACACAGATTTTCCAGGTGTCTCCTTGTAGATTTAAACCAAGCAGTTATTTTGGAGTATAGCATATCTTTTGGACCACACTTGGTACTTCACTCTTTGGACACACTGGAACTTGTCTAGTTTTAGGTTTAGAAGCAAAAATGGGTGGTGAGGTGGGTCCTGAGAACATTTGTCAATATCTTTTAAGGCATCTTCCACAGGCAAATGACCCAAGCAATGTTATAAGCGATAGCTCATACAACAACTATTCAGAAACAAATGGGTTAATCATCTTAGATGAGTGGAAAGGCTGATTGTTTTACTGGGGAAGGTAGACTAGCGGACAATGATAGAGCCATCTAGAAGGATCCCCTCTGACCAAAGGTAAGGGATGTGAAATAGCCCTGTTAGCAGGCACAGAGCATTGTAAAGTTGATTATGGCAGGCACAATTAAGTGAAAATGTAATATCTTATCGTTTGATCCATTTAAAGCTGTTTCAGTATTAAAAAAAAAAAGAAACGTAAAGGAGCAATACAGGAGCCGAAGGTGAATCCCTTCTGACCAGAGAGCAGATAGATGACCAGCCTTGCTATCTTGCAGAACGCATTGGAAAGTGGATTACTACAGATGCCATTGAATTAAAAGTTAGCACTCATCATTTTATCTCTCTTATGATCCATTTAAATTTGTTCTAGTTTTTAATATTTTCTGCTTTCTTTTCCACTGAGGTGATTTTCATCTCTTTTGCCTTGTTATTGTTATTTTTTGTTTTTAATGTTTTTCTGTAAATGAAATACAAGATAGGTAAATCTATACAGACAATAGCTGGATTAATGGTTCCTTGATGGTATGGGGACACTGGGGCAAATGGGGAGGTAATAACAGGGAGTACATGAATGAGGAAAATGTCCTAAAACTGATTGTGGTCATGATTATACAACTCTTCTTGATGTGGTTGAACTATTAAATTGTATGATATGTGAATTTTATACCAATAAATGGGTCAAAAAGAAAGATGGTGTAACATTGATAGAAGTAAAGAGATGGTTCTGCTGCCGAGAGTGATTTAGGGCTCAACACCCCCCGTTTCCTGATTATCTGTCCTTATGTCCTCATCCTAAATTTCAAGGTCTCATTTCTTCCCAATCAACATCCTCACTTTAACTTCAAATACCAGTCAAGTTTGGGAATTCAATTATTATTGTAGTTCGGCCACTCTTACAATGAGATTTCTGGGTTTGGCTCTTGGCCATATCATCTCTGTTATTATAAGAAATAAAACTTTCTTTCAGGGCAGAAGTGTCCATTTTCAAGAATTTTATGCAATGCTTGGGCTGTGACTCTGAAGCCCCGAGCTTATTTCTCTTTTTACTACTGTGTCTAACAAACGTAGGACCAACCTACCAACCTCCCTATACTTTTCAGTTTGACAACAATGCTGAAAAGCATCTAACCTCAAAGATGTGATCCAAAGGTAGCGATGTTTTATTGTATTTCTACTGCCACTTCAAGTCATGGATTATCAACGGCTTCTTCCCTACTGTAATTAGAGGCATCTGTGTGTTTAGATCTAGCCGGACCTGAGAACCAATTCTGAAAACTCATCTTTAAGATTTTGTTTCTCTAGAACTACTCTTGGTACCGAATGTCAGCCTGGGTTCTCTAGAAGAGCCCAAGCTAGTGAAGTATGGATGCCTCATATCCCAAATTTGTGGGGGTTTCCTGACACGATTGGCAGCCTACTGCCTCATATCCCAAAACCGATGTCAGGGGATTAAGAGAGTGTGAGCATTGCCAGAACACCCATGTGAGGAGACTTTTAAAAGTTCAGGGGAAAACTGAAAGATAGTAGAATTTTTCCAGGAACCTTCTAAAGTCCCCTCATATATGTTAGATGCAGACTACACCCCAAAGAACCTAATGGGCTTTCCACTGAATGGCTTTTCAGTGAACAGGCTGCTCACATTAGATCCCCAAATGCAAGATAATCATATTACCCTGCATCGGAGAAATCAGTCTAATATCTGTCAAGTTCTGAAAATAAAAGATTAGTCAAGTTGATACACTAACTATTACAACTACTAATCAAAAGACTGGCTGTTTTAACCCACGCAGAGGCTCCACAGGAGCAGGACCTGGAAATCTGCTCCCATACAGATGATGGCCTAGGAATCCCTTTGGGGACGTTCTTTTCTATTCATGTGTTCACAACTTAGCTGCACCTAATAGGCATCAGTCAAGTGGTGACCAAGGCAAGCTATGCCTGGTCTAAGTTTTCCTCGGTGCACTAAACTACGGGTACTTGCCAATCCTTTTTATTTAACTCAGGACCCCATGGTTTTGTTTTTAATTTTTGAAAATTTATTTCACTTATTATATAAAATTGTGGCGATAGCTCAGGACCAGTGTTCCTTCTGTTGTACACAAGGTTACTATGAGTTGGACTGACTCAATGGCACTTAACAACCCCATGCTGAAACCCAAACCCAAACCAAATGCACTGCCATCTAGTTCCTGCTGATTCATAGCAACCCTATATCATAGGGCAGAACTGCCCCGTGAATTTCTGAGCCTGTAACTCTGTTCAGAAGTAGAAAACCCCATCCCAGGAACAGCTCTTGGTTTAGAACAGTTGAGCTTGTAGTTAGTAACCCAATGTGTAATCACTTGCCACAAGGGCTCTTTGGGAGCTCATGCTGGTGAAATAAATAAACACCAACCTCTTTTCCAACTTGTGGCTGAGTGGACATTGGGAAAGCTCGTACACGGATGCTACGCAGTTTACATGTCAGAGTGGTAAAACAGGACTTCACAAAAATAAATGAAATGGAGAAAAATTCACAAACTCTTTAAAACGCTTTCCTTTTTGGCCAAGATATCGCCTAAAGGTACTTGGCTGCTAAGTAAATGTTTGGAGATTCAAGAGACATCTCAGAAGAAAGCCCTGGACTTCGACTTCCATTGGAGCACAGTTCTACTATTTTTTTAATTAATCATTTTATTGGGCACAGTTCTATTCTGACACTTGAGATTGCATGAGTTGGAACAGACTTGAAAGCAACTGGTATTGGCAGAGACGGGTTCTAAATAACTTTCTTAAATATCATCTGTAATAGTCTTTTCAGTTACAGCCCTCAGCTGTCACCTGGAACAATAAATCCCACCTACAGCCTTATCTTGACCTCAGGGCTATACTACAGGAATTTTTAAATGGTTTAAGACTATCTTATCTGCTCAGTATCAGATCTGCTGCTCCTGTTCTGATAAAGTAACCCAGTTTCAGGTACTCAGACTTTATCTGGTTACTTATAATCAAGGCCCTGCCTGTATTTCTAAGCACTAGGTCCTAGTTTCTTCTGCTATGAACCATGACCCTACACTGGCACCTTATTTTGTATCACAGTTGGTGCACTGTTCCCTATAGTGTTCTGTGGGCTTAGACTCCTACTCTGGAACTCTGTTGTTCGTGAGCCTGACTCACGAACATGCTGTGTGATAGCTATGATGCAGACTTCCCTCATATCTGATTTCTACCATTACCCACTACAGACACTCTAGAGAAGGGCTTCTGCTTGAGCTAGATTTCTAACCAACAGTCAGTATCTTTTACCCTCCTCTGCCTAGCACAGGAAGTGATTTCTGGTCTGGGACATTCCACAGACTGACTCATATCATTTGAATAGCAACTCAAATACCACTTCGATTTTTAAAATATCCCCATTCAAATCACCCAATAGTAAGCATGCCTCACTGAATACATATCTGCTGCTCGAAATTCCAAAAGAAAAGACTTCGTTACCTGTCTGAGTGAATCCTGGTTTATATCCATTGGTTGTTCCATTCTCTGGGGTCACAGTTGCTGATACCGAAGAGTTTGGCTTAAGAGAGTGGCAAGTAGCAGAGGATTGTCGGCTTCTACATTCTGAAAAGAAGTAGAAATCACATTATATGATACTAATACCTGCTAAATCAGGTAACGGATGCAAAACCTATTAAAACTTATAACATAAATTACTGCTCTTCCAGTAGTATCCATTGTCCTTATCAGATAACCCGCCTTTCTTTTAGTCCTGAGAGGAGTGGTTACAGGTTTGGCGGCTATCTACAAGGTCAGCAGTTTGAAACAACTAGCCACTCTGCAGGGGGAAGATGGGGCTTTCTACTCCCATAAAAAGCTACAATCTCAGAAACTCACAGGGTTCTACCCTGTCATTTAGGGTCCCTGAGTCAGCTTCGAATCGATGGCAGTGAGTGCTTTCGATAGAATCTTCAGGCACAGTGAGCACAGATGTTTTCCCTAGGTCCACGTTTGGAAGACAAGAAATGGTTATCAAGAATCACCAGATCTTTGTTCCTCAAAGGCTAGTTCCCAGAGGGAAAAGTCATATTTAATATAGGTTACTAGTTTTATGGATAGGATTAAAGCTAAAATATCAATAATTCATAAAAACCTAATAGGCTTTCAGGAGCCCTGTTGGTACAATGGTTAAAGGGCTCACCAGCCAACCAAAAGGTTAGTGGTTCAAACTCACCAGCCTGCTCCATGGGAGAAAGACAGTGCTGTCTGTTTTCAAGATTGATAGCCTTGGAAATCATATGTGGCAGATTTACTTTGAACTGAATCAACTGGGAATTGACTTAACAACATTGGGTTTTGGTTTAACAAGCTTTCAAACACGTTAACTGAATGTAGTGTGAAATTGAAACCTAAAGTACATCCAGGCTGTTTTCAACTTTCTCTCCAAAATCTCATTGCCATCAACTTAATTCTGACCCCTAGCAACCTTATAGGACAGAGTAGAACTTCCCCTGTGGGTTTCTGAGGCGGTAACGCTTTATGTCAGTAGAAAGCCTCATCTTTCTCCCATCACCCTCTACCTAACCTTAACTCATATCCCAAAATAGAAGCAAAGAGAAATATACAGAATAGAAAAATTAGAAACGCTCAAATGTATTCTCAATTCTTATTAAATAGGTAGACAATGTTTAGGTTTATTACTGATCATAAAACACAGCTTCATTTTAAGTAAGCTGATATTAATGAGTCTCTAGTATCATATTTTAATATTACTTTGTATTATGAAGGTGCTCTGAGCTGCTTACTATAAGGTCAGTGGTTTGAATCCACCAGACAGTCCATAGGAGAAAGGTTGCTCCTGTGGGTTCTGAGATTTTTAAATCTTTACAGGGGTTGGCATCTTTATCTTTCTGTTCAATTCTACTCTGTTCAATAGGGCCACTGTGAATTGGAATTAACTTGCTGGCACCGAGTTTGTTTTCTGAGTTTTGCACTATGAGCCTGTGGTGCTTTAGCATATAGTGTGCTAAAGACTGTGTGCAACAAAGGCAAATACAGAGGGTCCATAAAGCAGAGCTGCTTAAACTGTAGGTCACCAACCCCATATGGAGTCAAGTATCTGAATAGTGGGTGTGTGAAAAATCTGGCAATAGTAAAAGGGTTTTGAGTGCATGATGATCAAAAAGTAATTCAAAATATAACATTTTGAAAAGTAATTCAAAATACAACATTTGTGGTGAGAGGGAAATATGGCTGTCAGATAACAAGCACAGGAAGATCTCCTCAGCAAATACCAAAAAGAGGCCCTGCCAAGAGGGAATCCTGGGCTCCGTGGAAGCCAGAGAAAAAGCTTAAAAGCTATGTACACCAAAGTTTCTTAAAGTAAGAAACCGGCAATATCAGCTGACTGTTTCTGACTCCCTTTCACCCTTGACCTGCTTCCGGGCACCCACTCTCCATGAACGAGCTGCTCTCTCCCTGCCCCTGTTTCAACTCACCCAGACAAATCTCTCACCTTGCAGGCTTGTGAGGTGCTCACATGGAGAGCACGTGGGCTCTTGGCACAGACGTCCTCACTACCCAAGCAACGCTTTCTACCATTATGTAATTTCTCTTTCTCTTTTTTTCCTCCTTCTACCGTCCCACAATATGCATCTCCCACCCCTGAAAGGCAGATACATGTCCACCCCAATTCTGCCACAAGAACAGGAATCCCTATTCAAACGGTGGATTTATTTTATGTTTGATTTAAAAATTCTTCTCTTGTTTTAATTTAATCTATATTCTTCTTTGACTCTCACTTCCTCTTTTCATGTAGCCCTGTCCCCTGGTAGGTATGTCTGCCTCCCTCGCAGAGACAGGTAAACTACACCCATCAAAACCAGGTTTTTAAAGAAAATTTAAGCCAGTTTCTTCCTGCTCCCTGAGAGCACAGACCTGCCACATTTTTGCTGCCATAGCAACAGAATCCATATCTACACCCAAGCCAGGTCCTATCTATTTTGCCTCCTCCTATTAACTGCACACATAAGTGTTTCCATCTTTCTTTTTTGGTCTTTCTCTCCTTGCTTTTTCCTTCCCTCTCTCTTTTCTTGCTATTTCTCATTTCTTTAATTCTAGTTCTTCTTCTAAATATACATACATAAATATCTTCCTCTGGTTTGATTATTTGCTTATACTTTTCTCCTGTCCCACCCACTATCACTTTCTGCTTTCTTATCCCACCCTAGTGATATATATTTCCATGTTACCTACTAGGTATTATTACCCCTTTTAAAATACATTTTCTCATTATTTTTTACAAACCTTTTGTTCTCTCCAGATAGCCCCTTATCATTAGTACTATTAGTTTGATTTCGTTCTCACTCGTCTTCCTTACCCATCTCTCTTCCTTTCTTTGCACTCATGGAAGAAAATGTACGCAACATCACGAAGGGCAAGAAAAGACTACTCAAGAAGATGAAAGATAGGAGAGACTCGAAAGGAAAGCATGGTGACAAATTCTGAATTTGACTGAAGTCAAATTCTCCCATTTCAGTAAAAAGGAGCAGCTGTGGAAAACAAAAGACAAACAATCTTCTATGAAGGAAAACCAATAAAGATAAACTCAGCCTTCTAAGCAAGAAGCAATGGAGTAACACATGTCAAATGCTCAAAGAAAAGAAAAACTGGCAACCAAGAAACCTATATCCAGCAAAACTGTCCCTTAAATACAAGAGAATAAAGTATTTCCAGACAAGGAAAAACTAAAGGAATTTATAAAAATAAGACCAGCATTACAAAAGATAATAACGGGATCACTATGGGTAGCGAATCAACAGCAGCAGACAAGCCTGAGAGCATCATACAGAACATGACTCCCTAGAAACCAATACAGAGAACACCACACGCAAAACAACACAGAATTAGAGGAAGAACAGACGCTGAAAAATAACAACAAAAAAAGAAAGAAATTAAATACAAGCAGAGAAAATTACAGCAACTAACCCACATATATTAATAATGATACTGAATGTAAATGTATTAAATTCATCAACATATTAAATTCATCCTCTTCGCCATCTTCCCTGTTCTCTGCTGCTGCAGTTTCAGTGGCTACAAGATTTACCCCGAACACAGGAGGCGGTCCGCCAGGACCGATGGAAGGGTTTTCCAGTTTCTTAATGCAAAATGCGAATCGGCATTCCTTTCCAAGAGGAACCCTCGGCCGATAAACTGGACTGTTCTCTACAGAATGAAGCACAAAAAGGGGCTATCGGAAGAAATTCAAAAGAAAAGAACCCGCCGGGCAGTCAAATTCCAGAGGGCCATCACTGGTGCATCTCTTGCTGATATAATGGCCAAGAGGAATCAGAAACCTCAAGTTAGAAAGGCCCAATGAAAACAGGCTATCAGGGCTGCCAAGGAAGCAAAAAAGGCAAGCCAAGCTTCCAAACATACAGCAATGGCTGCTACTAAGCCTCTCAGAGAGGCAGCACCTAAGCAAAACATTGTGAAGCCTGTGAAAGTTCCCGCTCCCTGGGTTGGTGGAAAATGTGGACTTTCAAATAAAGATGCAACTATAAAAAAGAAAAAAGAAACAGAAGAGGTAAAACAACACAATCAGCCAGCTCAACCTCCCAGATATTTATGGAGCATTCCACCTTATAACAACTTGGTATACATTCTCTGCAGTGCACATAGTATATACTCTAAAATAGACCATATGTTAGGGCACGAAACAAGTTTTAACAAATTCAAAAACACTGAGATCCCACAATCCATTTCTCAGATTACAACACTGTAAAACGAAATCAACAATAGAAAGAAAAGGAACAAAAGAAAAACACACGGAGACTGAAGAACATACTAGAACAAAGGAGAGGAAATTATGAAATTCCTTGAAACAAAGGAGAACAATAACACAATATACCAAAACCTTTAAGGCACAGCAAAAGCAATGATCAGAGGGCGATATATTCAGTGAAGTGCTTTCACCAATTCTATACAGACGATTCCAGAACACAGAAAGGAACAGCAAAGTCCCACACTTATTCTACGCAGGAGCACGCATGAAAAAAAGGGAGAAATCCAAAATCAACACCTTAACACAACACCTCCAATAACTAGAACAAATACAACAACATAAATCCTCCAACAACAGAAGAAATCATAAAGATTACAGCAGAAATAAACAACTGGAAAACAGAAAAACTGGAAAAGCACTAAAACAAAAAGACGTTTCTTTGAAAGGATTAAGAAAATTAGCAAAGGAAAAGAGATGATGCAAACATCTTGAATTCGAGATGAAAAGCGCAACATCACCACTATCACCAATTCTATACAGAGTAGTCTAAAATACAGAAGCCAACAGCAAACTCCCACATGCTTTCTTTCTTTCTTTGTTTCTAAATGCAATTTTACATATGAAGAAACAAACACTTGGCTTATATTGACAGGTGTCACGCAAAGAGGATGCCATAGAGTCAGGAGTTAGGGTGCATGGCAGGATCATGGCCCGCCTTCTGAATCAGGATCTCAGACTGCTCTTGTAGATTAAACATTGTTTTAAATTTTTAAAATTCTTAGCTTACAAAAGAAAAGCCTAGCAACCTGATACAGGGACCTCATTTTTTTTAAGTTGT